TCGCATGTCGATGATGGCTGTATGCTGTATGCCGTATGCCGTATGCCGTATAGAGAGCATCAGTATCTATCTGGTTTGCTTGCTACACTCCGAGCATTAAACCCTGCCCCGGGGTGCATACAGGTACGACTGCAGATATAGGTACACCTCCCTCTCCACAGATACACAGGCACTCGTGGCTGAGCCCCCTTTCACCGTCTCCAGTCTTCATTCTTCAGTCTTCCAGCTCCAGTCCCACCGATTCGGATGCCCAGATAGAGAAGAGCACTCCTTTGTAGCGCTTTTGTCTTCCACTCGGGCCGGTCGTTCATTAATGGCTGGTTGGTCGGTTAGCTGGTTGGCTGCGTCTTGGCCCACTTGCCACTTGCAACATCTCGGATTGCAGCCGTGTAATCGCCAAGACGGCAGGCGCTTCCAGTTGCTCCTCCCCCAGAATGAAAATATGTTCTTGCTATTCAAGATTAATAATATTTCTCATTATTTCCTTACTTCTCATTGTTTAATGTCATGTTTCTTATTGTCAAATTTAATAATATTTACAATTTTCAACTCTGTTTTGTTAAAAATTTTGTAAATTAACAGTTTATAGCTGATCCCTTACTGTACCTTAAGTTTTCAACTTTCGATTACACTGAACAATAAATAAATAAATTTGAACGTTGATGTTGAATTCGAGATTAACGTCTTTATTCAAGGCTTACATAAAACCAAAATATATTTTTTTTCAAACATTTAGTATAGATTGACAAACTAAAAGACATCTTTTAGCTATGATTGAATTTAAAATACTCAAACAATTACTAAATGATTGAATTTATCAAAAAATCTGTAGCCCTGTCTTTTTGATTAAATAATAAATTCTCATTTTTCATTACATATCCTTAAGTAATATAGTTACGTTCAAAACTTTTCTTTATAAAACTTACTTAAAAAGCTTTAAACTATTTTTTGAAATCTTAAGAAATATACTATCATAAATCAATCTATAAATACTATCATACTATTTCAATTTTAAATACTTCAAGCATACTTTTTTTAAATATTCTATTCTATTAAAGTAAATCAGAGTTCCTTCATTTACCATTAATTTCCATAACAAGTGTCTGGAGTTCCCCCGGCCCTCACCTTCACTACTTTCTTTCAATAAGAATCCTCGATTTCGATACTTATTACAAGTTTTCACTGCTCTTCAATAAACCCCTCGAAGAAAATCAATCAAAAACATTGTATAAAGAGGCGAAATCCAGCCGTCGCACTGCACAGGCATAACCGCAGGCTCAGGGGAACTCCCGAGATAAGTCCTCCGGGAAAGGGGGGGATGTGGAGGCAATAAAATCCCCATCGAGGGCTGGAAACGAATCAATACTCCAACTACACCGCTCCTTGGGAAGGCCCGATCCGATCCGACCCGGCCGACCGCAACTATACGCCCCAAAAGCCCGGCGAGTCAAAGCGATTACACCGGAGCGGAGCACACAAACACCTTTTCATTTGTATCTATTAGATTAAAATTCATGTCGACGTTTGTAGACGCGTACTCGCGTACGCACTCCGCACCGCAACACGCGCTTGCAGATACAAAGATACATAGATACGGAAAATGGTGTGCCTGGCTTGGCGCTCTCGACTCACAATCATCATTGGCCTGGTCGGGTCTGCAGCTCCTCAGCTCTCGACGAGCTATCTGCAAACAAGAAGAGATACATTTGGGGGGTGGGGGCTTGGCTACGTATCCCCAAGATACGAAGCCCAACGAAGCGAGGCGAAGCCATCAATACAAGCCGTACGACTACAGATACAACCACTACATGAGCGACACACAGATACTCGTACTCTGTGGCAACAAGCGAAGTACAAAGGATACAAATATATCTCGTGTTCGAAATATAAAAATCGTTAAACAAAGACTGGCGTTGTTTCTGTATTTGGATCGACTGCGACTAACGACTATGGAGGGTTGAGTGGGGTGGGGGGGTTTCGGGGGTTTCAGGGAGTTTCGGGGAGTTGGCTTTGGCATCATCTTGCCCTCCCGCTTTTGCTTGCGGCCATTTGGGGCAACTTTGCCCCTGCAATCTGTCTCACTCTTTCTCGGCTCTCTTAGCGCCAGAAAGCCCGCCTCGAAAAAGGTTGCTGCTGCTAGCTGGCCAATCCCCCCCCTCTACCCCTCTTACTTCTTTTTTTGCGGCACCCCCTTTTCCACCATTTTCCCCGCCCATGGGAGAAGTTGCTGCTGCGGTTGCCAGTGTTGTTGCAGTTGTTGCTGCCGTGTTCCTCTTGTTGCCGCTGTGTTTCTGCACAGAAGGCGACGGCAATTTTGTAGGCGCGCCAATGGGTTAACGTGATCTGAATTTGTTGCTCGCGAGCCAATTAATGTCGCTCTGAATTAAAAAGAAGATACTGATGGCAGATACAGATACGGATCGTAAAAGTCACTTAAGTGGGTTAACCAGGAAACACCATTTTCTTTTTCTTAACAAGTATTTACCAAGAGTTTTTAAGTTATGTGTTTTATTTCAATTTAAAAGTTCGAAAAATTCTTAGGGGTCGCTAATATATGTTGTTAGGACATTTTGAAAATAAAATTTTTTATAGGTCGTATAAGAAAAGAAAATGTAATTTTTAGGTTTTTAAAAAAGCTTTTGAAATATAATATGATTTTTTCAACCTAAATAATTTATAATCCTTATTAAAATTGATAAGATTCTTTTAATTTATAATCCATTTTGTAAAGTTTTATTCGTTATATTCAATATTTTGTGTTTTAAAGATCCCACGTTATTTGACGATTTTTTTCATGGAACACTTTAATATTAAACCTGTTATTTTTAAAGTACTAATAAAAATATGTTTTAGAAGATTATAATCAACATTTACTGTAAAATATGAAAGATTCAGTAAAGGATATTCTTTTCTGTGGCTATATTAAAGTTACTCGAGGTAAAATTCGCATTGCCTGTTCAAGTAAAACATCTTAACCTCATGTAAGTGACCTTAATACGGTGGTTGGTTAAACTTTTATTTTGGCACTGTCGATCCATTAATTTTCATGAAAACTTGCGAGCCGTCGTCCCCGTGGACGAGGAAACCCCTAATAAATGACTATCGAAAAACTAATCGTTAATGTCGGGGCAATGGAAAAGGATAAAGCTCCTGGTGACTTCATTTAAATGTTGTAAGAATTTGTTTACTGCGTGTGCGACACCGAGCTGAGGTGGGTGGAAAATGGGAGGGGGTGGCTATAACCACCGATTGCCGGGAACGACAAAGTAGCTTTCGAATGTACGAGTAGTCGGTACTCAGTAGGTAGTAGATACATATGTAGCACATAAACGCCATCCCGCTCTAGCAGCTGCCGTCACTCCTCTCGAGTGGCGTTTCAATTAATTAGAAAAAGTTAAAGAAACGCCACGGCAGGAGGCAAAACAAAAAGCAAATACCTACATAATAAAATGTAAGAGCGTATGTTGTAGCAGCCAAGGCAGCAAAGGCGGCAAAAGCGGCAAAAGCAGCGACGGCAGCTGCGGTGTCGTTTTTGTTGGAGCAGCGCGAAAGATGCCACCAATCCAGCCGAAGAGCCAAAGCGGTCAAGAGGGGGGGGCTCCATGGGAGGGTTCTGCAAGGGGGTTTCCAGAGGGGAACGTCAACTGCGACTGCGGCAGAGGCGGATGATAAAACATTACCCATCGCGCTGGGTTGGCCCAACCTCTTCACGAGTCTCTCGTTCATGTTCATCAGGCTTTTCTTTTTGCTTTCCACTTTTTTCGTTTTTCATCAGCGGCGAAAAGCGAGAAGCGAGCGTAAACACTTTGCTTTCATACGTCGCGACGTTCGTGTTGTTGTGTTGTTTATGGCAACAACTACACGTAGCAACACCCACGGCAGCAGCAGCAGCAGCAGCAACTGCGGCAGCAGCAACAGCAGCGGCAACAGCAGCAGCGGCAGCAACAACATCAAGTAGCAGCGTTGCAACAGCAGCGGCAACAACAGCAGCAACAACATCGCCTACAAATACATACATCGGCATTTACAACAACACGCAATAACAGCCATTTTTCTAGTTGTTAAGTTAATTTTTTCATGTTCTGCCGCTCGGTGTTGCTGCTGCTGCCGCTGCTGCTGTTGCTGCCTCGCTTGCACGCGAGCAACACGACAGCCAACGCGAGCAACTTGCGATATTGCTGCTGCCGCTGCCGTTGGATGCGATTCGTGGCCGGCTATAGCCGTCTCGCTCTGGCCGGCCGCAGCTGGCAGATACTTTATTTATGGTCACACAGGCGGTAGATACTTTTTTGCCCCCCCTTCACTGCCACTAACCAACCGGTCTCGCTCTGTCTCGCTCGCTCTCGCAGGGGTCCAGGGGCAGGGGAGGGGGGCTGTACGCTGTACTATGCCATACCGATCCGATTCCTATCCCCAGAGCGCCAGCCCACTTATAATAATAATCATTATTGCCGTTGTTGCCGTTCGTGTTGTCGTCGTGCCGCCTCGTTTGCTACTTTTTTCCCACTCACAGATACTCTTGGCACGCACACTTCACCCGACTGCACACACAGATACTGCACACTCGCGCAAAGAGCTCTCTTCGCACGAATACCAAGGGAAAAACGAAGTGAAAACAGGGGGAGAAACCCGTTTGGGCTCTCTCTCTCCCTCGCTCGCTCTATCTCTAGCCCACACAGATAGGCGAGCGGGCTATGTGGTGGTGCGCGGGCCCGTGGTTGTTGTTGCTCTTGCTGCGCTGTTTTTCGATTGTCGGTTGTCGTGTAATTCCCATTTGTCGTACACTTTGTAGTTGCTCAAGAAACTCATGTTAGTCTACTTTTGACTGTTACGCAGATTGTTCGTATCGTTCGTGTCCGCAGTGCCAGTGTGAAAATAGTGCTCTCTGCCCGCCGCTCGCCGTCGATCTGCGAGCTGGATTCGGAACTCGGAACTCGGAGTTCAGAGTCGGATTGAGATTCAGATACAGCGGCGCCCTCCTCGTCCTCCGGCTGCGCTGATCCATCCGCCAGCTCCTCCGTTCGATTCCATTGATTCTGGCCCGTAACGCCACCAAAACCCCCCGTCGGATTTACCGGATTTACCAGTGCCCAGTCGAGCGCCTGGCAATCGAACTGTTGGCCGAATTGGCATTGGCCAGCTCCTCTTAGCCGTCGGCAAGTGAAAAATCAGTGAAAAAATACGAAAAACTATACGATATAAGACCCCGGTACGGATCACCACCAAAAACTAGCTCGGATCAATCGCAGATCACCCCCGGATTATACATATACCCACAGATTATACACCTCCGTTTAGTGCGCGACTCCATCGGTGCATCGTAACTTTAAGATTTGCTTTATAGTTTTAGTTAAAAGCAGAAATTAATATTAAATGACAGTGCACAGTAATGAAACCGGTATCTGTTTAGTAATGGTGCGTATTCCAATTTGTTTTCAGTATTATTACTTGTAAGATGGCCCGTTTTAGCTTGTCACTTGGCATTTGGAGTAGTGGCAATTAGATTGCACTCGGGCAAACCCGTTTCTTGGTCGCGAAATCCGCTTAAAGATCATCAGAAGTAAGCGAGTGCAACACATGTACTAGTGCACAAACAGTGGGATTACTCTCGGTTCTCTGGGTTCGAATGCCTCAGCAATTTGATTTGGCAAACGGAAGACATGGATTTAAAAATAAAACAGATCAAAATGTTGGGATCGAATGTACTGCCAAATCCGTGGGGAAATGTCAGGACCACAAGTGTGCTACATAAGCTGAACACACGAAAAGCAGTCTGCCAATTCGGAAAATCTCTTTTATCTGTGTCTTTGGTTGTTAACCAAGCTGGCAAGGTCACCACCTCCGTTCTTTTCCCTATAAGCAGCCCAATAGGATTTCGGCCACTTTTCCTCCTCCCTGGCCATAATAATCCCGGTAACCCGATACGCTGGCAAATATGACCAGCTAATATTGCCTCTGGGCCCAAATGTAATCACTTGCACTCGACACTCGAGCATATACACACACTCGATCGTCGAGTGCAAGAAGCAACTTGTGGCGCAACACGAAGGCTGAAACAGAATATCAAAAATATTAAATGCTCTTTAAGCAAACATGCCCAGTGACATGAATGGCTGTCATTCTATACCCTCCGCAATGGCTACCCGAAAATATAATAATTTCTTTTGGAGTCCAGATACATGGAGGCATAGCCTGCAGCTAGATGGTCGATAATCATCGGCGGCTGATTCAAAGAGCCAGTTGATAAGGCTGCCTATAGTGGATCCATCCATCCGTCCGGCAAACACCGGGAATTAATTTTTAATCGCATAGGGCCACTTGAGTTGTCACTTGATGAAAGCACGAGACGCAACAGCAACAGCAACAGCAACACCGAATCCCAACAGCAACACATTGCGGCGGTATCAATCACGACCGATACAACATGCAGCTCTGTGACCGCCGGCCTGCGATAAAAATAGTATCTTACGCCTCGGATCATTTGTAAAATGTTAAACGGGAAGAGCGGCCCCAAGAAGTGGAGAAGTTAACCAAAGAGGCAGCGATAAACAAACCTGAAACTTGTTTGTCCCCCCATGTCGCATGTGCGAATGTGTACGTTGCTCTTGTCCACTGTTGTTGCTGTTGCAGTTGACTAAAAGTGTTGACAAAAGTGCGCGATAGGCTTATGTGCACACACTCACATACTATACCATACCATACCATCCCATCCCATCCCATGCCATACTATATAGAGCCCCGATCCAGGCAGTCATTGGACAACTTACAATCAAATTGCTCTTAGGACGTTGCCGTTGCTGCTTGTCGATGTTGCTGGTTGTCGTTGCAGTTGTTGCTGTTGCCATTGCCGTTGCCGCTGTCGTCGTTGGCAGCAATCGGCTGTGTAATTTAAATCAATGTTGTCAATCGAAAACATGATTTGTTGGTAATGGCGGCCCCACTTTGAAGATCGGCCAGGGGAAAGGGGTTCGAGGCCTGGAGTATTGGTGTTTGGGTCTCGTTTTATTGACTGAAGAAGACAGCGGTTCGGGATCTGAGTTCTGGTTCTGGTTCTGGGGATCTGAAGGGCCCGTGGACAGCAACCCACAACCCACTGGAGAGACTCGCTTATCGCGCTGATAAGGGGCTACGTTTTTAATTAAGTTTTAGTGCCAGCTGGTAGCAGGGCCCAGTAGACCCATGCCGTCTATGGGGCTTTTTATCCATCGCAAGAAGCAGCGCTTTAATGGGCCGCCATAAACTTGAGAAATGGATTGGAAGAGACCAAAGTCGTATAATCAAATTTATGAAATAAATATCGGAGAAGGGAAACATCGCTGTAAATTAGTCTCGTTTTGGGAATAGCTCTTAGTAGTTTTTATTTGGGTAAGGCTAATTTTGTTTATGTTTTTTATTTATTTAATTTTTAACAAAACAAAGAATTAGGATCTTTTCTTTAATCCGTACACGATGAAATCGTAGCTTTAGCTACATTTACTAAATTTATTTTTCAACACCAAATTAACAAGGATGCTTTCTTAAGATTTTAAAACCAAAATCATTTTGTTAAATCTTAACTCTTTGAGAAAGTTTTATCTAAAGATTTTAGCTTTTAGCCATATTTTGAAAAAGAAAGTCGAACATATCCCTCTTGAATTGACAAAATATATTGTATATCTTAAGTATCAATAAAATACAAGATCTCAAAAAATACCACTTTAATTTCTAATGATCACACTTTTTCGTTCAAACCTTTTTCCATTTGCAAAGGCTAGCATCATCCAGCCACAAAATATAACAAAAGTATAGGAATAAAGTGAAAGGAAGACAGGAAATTAGGTGATATAAATATAAGTTTTTAATTTAGGGTTACTCTTTTATTTTACAAAATTAACTTCTTTATCCACTTCCACTTGCAGAATGCCGTTTCAACTCACCTTGCCACCTCGTCGCCCAACACGCCTCCAACCAACGCTCCGCAGAGTCCGCCCTCGACGCTGCCCACGCTCGCCTGTCCCGCCGCCCAGCCGCTGAGTGCTCCCGGGATCTCCGGGCCAGGCCACAGTGGCATGGTGACCTCGACGGTGCCGCCGGGCGCCCGCTCCACCTCGCCGTGCGGTCCGTCCGCCGGCCTGCCCGCCCTCTCGCTGGTCGGCGGCCCGCCCCCGGGACCGCACTCCTCCGCCCCCGGAGGAGCCTCGGCTCCCGGGGCGGGCAATCCGCCCAACCGCTGCTGTGATACCGGTCGCACCATCTACACGGATCCGGTCAGCGGCCAGACGATCTGCTCCTGCCAGTACGACATGCTCAACTACCAGCGCCTGGCCGCCGCCGGAGGAGTGCCCCTCGGCGTCTATCCGGAGGGCATGTCCGCCTACCTCTCCGGCATTGCGGCGGACCAGCCGCCGTTCTACGCCAATCCGGTAAGTGAGCTCAGACAAGAAAAATCTGAAGAATTGGGGATATACGAGGGTCTTACACTGAGCCAAAACCGAGAGCAGAAGGCCAATATTGAAATCTTGGTTGAATATACTATGACTTTCATAGTTATAAAGGTTTTATTACTATTTTTTTTATATATTCTGTGTTAGAAATAGGGCATCCCGAAAACATTGATTTAATTTTTTGTATATCTGATAGTTTTCTAGAAGATAGGACAACCCTTTTAAAGGATTTTATTATTTTAGGTTATCTTAAATTACAAAATCCATCCCAATTCAGGCTACTTTTTAATATACTACATTTCTAGTGATCATATTTATTATTCTAAACTTTTTGTTCGCTGTGCATCATAAAGCCTGTTCATAAGTCATATACCCCGAACAATGGCGCAATAAATTTGTGAATTTGTCGACTCGAGGAGCGGGAGACCACCATCGAAGTTGAAGTCGCGTCGTCATTTGATCGTGAACCGAGTACCGAACACCGAGTACCGAGAGCCCCGTCTATGCTTCCGAACTTGTGCTGGCCTACAGCAGAGCCTCGCTTGGAGCGATTTGTCAGGCTGGGGGCCACGGGTCCCCGGGTTCCCGGGTCCCTGGTACTTAGGGCCTAAGCCTACGCCTGACCTTTCGTTCGCCCGGTGATATTTCAAGCCACATTGTGCAGGTCTCGCCTGGTCGGGAGTTGCGAAATATGGCTGGCTTAACTCGATCTGCAATTGAGTCGGGGATCCCTATCCCGCTGCACTGTCCGAATTCATGGACAATGGACTGGGGACTGCGGCACGTCTTGGTCACCACATGTCCGGCGCTTCGCCGTCGGCCCTTTGTTCGCCTCGCTTCTAATAGCATCATGTAATTTGCCTTTGTTTGCCAACAATTCTATTTGGACACAATGTTCTCGGGACCACATGCGGAGCCCAAGGACTGGACACCCAGTGGTTTGGATTGGTTTGGTTTGGTTATGGTTTGGGTTCTCGGCTCCGGCATGTGTTCCATTTCAGTCGAAAATTTAGGTGGAATCGGAGAAACTGCATTTACCAGTCAATCGAACTAGACACAATGTATTGACCCGGTTCCTTGTTTCCTTGTCTCATAAAATGTTTTGAGGAATGGGAGAGATGTAATTCAATGTGTATCTTATTTTTAATTGTCTGTAAAACTGTTAGGAGGAATGTAATTGAATGGGGCAAGACAATTACAGCAAAGGCAGTTGATTAATGTGCATAATGTACATTCCCTGAACTTGTTGAACTGCGGTGGAATTCGTGTTGAAATAGCTAAAAATTAGTTTAAAGTGGTTTGAAATATATTATAAATTAGTTGATATATATATACAGCTTCCCCTATTTAAACTTCAAATGCCATTTAAAACAACTCAGGTATCTACTCCAAATGATGTGTTCAAATTTGTCTCCGAATCGGTGGGCTTTCGGCCCTCCTTTGTCGAGGCCTCCTAACAGCGCCCATTAAATATGATCCGATAAAATGTCGCATTCAGAAGTGAACACATAAATTTATTTGCTTACAAGCCAAAAAGAAAAAAGTCTAAAAGCTGACGGCACTCGGGGCAAAAAGAAACAGAAGCAGAACTCGAAACGAGCTGACGACTGTGAAATTGAAACTGGGAGTTTAATGAATGGCCCGTTGAGTATTTAGAATGCCACTACTGGAGATGAAGTGGCAAACTGTATGGGCATACGGATCGGGAAATAGCTGGCTCTGCATAAGTAGTTGCTGTGACTAAAGGCGGGTGGAACGAATATACTTTTTGCTGATCTCTGTGAACGCTAATGTGGGATTAAGTATTATCGCCGCCAGGTGATTTAAGTGCAATCGCTGTCCACCATTGGTGTTTCGCCTAATCAAACACATGCTCGATAAAAAATTCAAAACGAAATTTGCATTTGAACTGGTTTACTTCGAGGGAATAATGTGATAAAATTAGAGAACCGGTCTGCTCTGCCGGCCAGTAGCTGGCACTTTGTATAAACTTAGCCATTGTCCGCGAAACAAATTATGAAAGTCGCAGCGAAAAGCATCGATCAGCCCGTAATCGCGATCGATCGCAATCTCTCGATTGCGGGGCATTATATTTTTATCCGGCCGCTGACACAGCAATTTAGCAGGATGTGATTGAAGTGTCGTGTGTTCGGGGCACTTGAGATCACAGAGGATTTACAGGGCCGTATTGATGGCAGCGTTTAAAGACAGAACAGGTCGGGTCGTGGCATCTGCTAAATAAATCATCCGGGTCGTAATTAGTCACTTCAGCCGCCGGCGCTAAACTGGAGCGATTTCTCTCCGCCGTATAGATACGGATATGTAGATACAGCCTAGTTGTAAAAGTGTCTGCTCAATGCGGTGGATTCATTACTTTGACACGAGCTGTCAAGCGGCTGTCAGTTTGCCGCAGCGCGGGAATATATATCCCGCTCCCAAAAACTCCGAGTGCGACTCCGGTTCGAGTTTGAAGGTGGATGACGACGACAACTCCGGTGGATGAGATGGCGATGGTGCACCGCTGTCATTTCGAATGGCAAGATACATTTGAAGAGCGCCGCCCGCTAACAAATAGGCCGAACCAGGGCCGCGCCCGGTGTTTTCCCTCCTTCGCTTTTCCGTTTTCCATTTTCCCGTTTCCCGGTCCCCGTCTCGGTTTTTCATCTAGTGTTTTTGGGGGCGTCGACGGCCGATGCCGCCTCGTACCTTATTAATAAATTTGTCAACACGCAAGTGACAGCCTGTCAGGCTGTCCGCCCTTAGATCATCCCATTCCATTCCGCTCCGTTCATCCGTTTATCTGTTTATCCTTAAGTCCGAAATTGACTTCGACCCCGGCGCATATGTTGCATCCTGCACTCGCTGACACTCGGAGAAATTAATTTTGTTAATTGCCGAATGTCTGCCTTAATTTAAAATGGGTCTTTTGTTGGTTTCCTATAGCTGTACTTTTTGGGATATAATTTTGGTTGAGAGAAAACTGGCAATTAGTAGAGACAATTGGGTGTTTGACTTTAAGGTAATGCTTCAGCTGCTCTCCCAATTCAATTATATTGAGCAGGAAATGTATATTTGTGCTCCATATTTGTTTCATTAAAATATTTTATTGCATACTTTTAGACAGCTTTAGAAGTGATTCCAAATCTTAAGAGATTTATATAACTAAACTGTGTAATTTGAAGAATGTATATTTATTTTTATGCGAAGTGGATATGATAATCTAGAAATCACACTCATATGTTGAGGTGCACCAAAGAAAAACAAAGGATGTTACGGCCTAAACCACATATTTTCCTTTTGCAAATTTTAAGTGCAGTCACTTTCAAAGTCTAATGAGTTGCCTCCCCAGCTACCCTTAAACTTTCCCCACGCAGGGCATTTTCGGAGAGGTCCTGGAGCCTTTTCCACCCGAATGCGAACACTCAGGCCTCCCGAAAACAGGGCGGATGGGTGTTTTTAGACACTTGACGCCGGGCAAGTAGCCAAAATGGTATATTGACTTTTCCCCAGTTTAAGTGCCGCAACATCATCAACGACAACAATGCAAGCATGAAATTTCACACTCGACAACATAGTCGCACTGGGTTTTCGCTCCAACAAAGGACTGCCTGTGCCTGGCTGGCTCAAATGTGCGGTATACGCTCATATCCTGTGGGAGCTACAAAAACTTTTGCCCCCAGCAAGTTTGCTACGTTCTACAAAATGTAGCAGAAAGCAACTACAAATCGGACCACCCCCTCTCGCTTGGCACCGAACTGAAAACTGAAGCGAACCGAACGGAACCCACTCCAGATATCACACTCTGGCATTATAGAGAAAACAACCCCGAGATACTACGGCCAGCCTCCCGAATTCGAGTTCCCAGCTCCCATCTCCATTTTCCGATCCTGGAACATCCTGCTCCTTGGAACCTTGGCTACATGCACTGATTTGTCAACTTTTGAAAATGTCGAAGTGTTGTCGTGTTGTTTTGGGGGTTGCTTTTCTAATGGCAAGGTGACGGCTAGTGGGTGGTGGGGAGTTCTTTTCTGGGGGTGGGGTCTTGAGTTAGGAGGTTGTGTGCCAAAGTACTAAATACATTTACTGCTCGCACCAATCTCATTGTTGTTGCCGTAAGTGTTGTGGAAAGTTTTTGTGTTGCTGCCGTTGTTGTTTGGCTTTTTGGCAAAGTTGAAAATGTTCGTTAACAGTAAATTTTGCACTTTTATATGGGTGGCAAAGGAAAAAGGAAGCCCGGCGCCTTGGTGTTGGTGCTGTGTGTGTACTCTGTGTGTGTGACGGCCTGAATGGCCGCCCTGCCTACAACAAACAAATTAGCAGTCATGGCAACGCATACGAACAACGCACAAACAAACAGGCAACACGACCAGCAACAAAAGCAACTTCGACACCAACAACAGCAACCTCAGTGGTACAACTTTATAAGCGAGTTGTGAAAAAAAGTGTCATCGGGAGTTGGGAGCTCCAGTTTTAAAAGGGGAACAGAGCGAGGGTGCACAGAGGAAAAATTTGATTTCAAACTGAAATTCCGTATCTCAAAAAAATGACAACCATATATCTTTAAATTAAAATGGGATGAACTCTTTCATAAGCAAAAACACTCATTTTACCCTACCTTGAACTCTTTAATATTTATAAATTTTAAAGATCATTCTTCTCGAAAATAAATATTCTTTTCTTATAGATATACTAAAAAACACTTGCTTTCAGTGTAGATTAGCTCCCTAGCACAGAACGCATTCTTTGGCGCGACTCAAACTCCGCGCTGTCGTCAATTTCAATTTCAATTTCCGATTCCGACTCCCATTCAAAGTACGAATCCGATTCCAATTCCGATTCCATTCATTCTTCGCTGTACAGGCGGGAATGCGGCGGGCAAACGTGCGTTTATTTTTAAATCGAAGCAGCAATTAATTAACTCGACCCGTCATTACGCGCATCGCTCAAATCGTGGCGCATCAGGGCGACAGACCACAGGAGCCGGAGGCCCCTCAAGACCCCCGGTTCCACAAAACGGATCCCAACCATATAATCCAACGGGCCTGGCCCATTGACGTTTGGCGTGAAGGGAACACAGTCGCAGAATTTCCTTGGTAATGAAGACAAAGTCCCATTTTAATTTGAATTATTTAATTTGCTGGCAGACAGGAGTGGAAGTGGAAGTGGGGACCAGAGACCAGGGACCTGGGAGCCGGCAAACCGCACTTCCCGATGCGTGAAACGACGCACTCCGGTTGTTAAGATCCAGCGGATCAGACATCCAACCACTTGAGGTCTTGCGGCCAACAGTGGTCACTCATTCATGTTCTTGTAATGTCCAGTGGGCGGGGAAAGTTTCTCGAGCTTGTTCCACTCATATTCTGACTTTTGCTCACAGTTTCCTAACCAAATATTAGCTTTGCCTTCACGGCGATGATTAATGGGAAATGTTAACAGGCCTAATTAAGAGGTTATTATGGGTTCTTGTGGGATATCGGATTTCGATTTGTTACCAGCCAGCTTATTTGAAGTCCTCTCCTTAAGGTATAAATATATATAGATAGATTATTATTATTCATTTCTAACATCTTAACAACTTCTGTAGAAATACTAAATGAAATCCCATTTATTTGCCAGAGATATTTAAAGAAATCAATGGGCAAAGGTCGAAATGTATCCCCCTCGTGATGGTGGTCACACTGGGGCATTTAATGCCCAAGTACACAATTTACAATCCGAGGGAACAAGCTCGAGTGCCAAAACTACAAACATTTTGCAAATGCATAAACATTGTTGCGGAAGAACAAGCTATCGACAATATGCGATCTGCGCTACAGAGCGCTTTTACAATTGCAGTTGTCGTCGCCAGTGGTAATGCAATATTTAACTCGAAAACGAGTTGCATCTGTGCGGTGGCTGTGGATGTTGCTGCTGCAGATGTTGCTGCTGCTGCTGCTGCTGCAACTGTTGCTGCCGCATCGCAGTATTGGTTATAATAAACACAGACGCAAACATGTCGAATGTTGTTAATATTAACCGCCGCCAGCGCAAAAATCCCGGCACGGGTGCGTTTTCCACCAGAAAACCAAGCCGAATCGGGCTGCATTAGCTTGGTAGTAGCTACTGTTGCTCCGTGGAGATACTTTACTTCAGCTGGTAGCCAACCGGCAACAATTTATTATATGCGCTTTGCCCGCATCGACATGGCCTACACGCACTCGCTGCCAAACACGCACGACACAGATTCGGATTGGGATTCGGGATTAGGGATGGGGATCCCATCCTCAGCCCCGACTTTTGGGGCTCCACAATTCCCGTGATAGCCGGGCGTGATTATTGTAAAGGTTGTAAAACGTAAACCGGTTTCGGGCCTGGTCTCGCATCGAGCTTCCATTGAGAAATAGGAGCAGCCCGTGTAATTTAATATAGTCTGTCCCGAAATCGCTGTCCATGTTCGGCTAACTGACTTCTGCGCTGCCAAGGAGTCAGAGAAAGAAAGACTCCACTCAGAAAATAATGTACATTTTGCCAGTTAAAAAACAACAAACGACATACATATATTTATTTGAAAAAGTCAATCCATAGCATACCTGTAAACATGTGTTAAAATAAACCCACTCATTCGAAATAGAATGAGGTATCATATGGCCATTGGCTGGAGTGATCTTAAAATCTCTTCTAACCGAAGACGGGTAGGATTATTTGTATCTACGATTCAATTCCAATCGAAATAGCTTGGAAGAGCTTTTTGTGTCACCCTAGAAGAATTCACTCATATTATTTCTATTAGACATTCATCGTATATCGTAAGCAGTGTAGACGCTGGCTGGAATGTAACGATCAGTGTTACTATCGATTAGCTTGTAAGCTTTAAATGGAGATACAAAAGTCCATCACTTTTATAACCGGAACCAGCTGGGCTATATCACTCAGTTGTTTCTGACAAATTGCTGTATTATTTGATCAATTAAAAATAATGTGCTCCCTAAGTGCGAGTTACAAAGCAATAACTTAATCTCTAAAACGTTTTCCAAGGGTAATTCAAAGTGTATTCAATTACTGAATATTGGAGAGATGGTTATTATTATTTTTCCAAGTGTCGGACCTGTCAAAGGGCCTTGGCCCTGCAGTTGGCCTGGCCCTCGAGATCTGTGGCTGTTGCTTTTGCTGTTTATCAGTCTATCGCCGCTGTACTCGCACTTACCACATGCTGGGCAGCCAAGCAACCAACCAGTCCCGAAACCTTTTGGCCAGCTCCAGACCCGGACCCCGGGAATGACTCCTACTCCTACTCTCACTACCAGTCGATGGTCGGCGATAGCGATGTTGCAACAGCAACAGCAACATTTTCGTGTTGGCGACATAAAAATATTTCCGCTTTGCAGCAATCTGGCGCAGACGCTCGTCGCGACACCGAGACAATAGATTTTGGGACCTGCATCCGATGCGAGCATCCTGCACTCGTCCTGCGGTGCCATGTAGATCCGTATCGGGCTCGTTCTCATTGATTTCGCATCTTGTTTTCGTACCCCCGCTGTTTTTCGGCTGGCGACTATTTGCAACATGCCTGTCATAACTGCGGCGGCGGCTTTCCGAATCGCCTCCACTGACGAATATGCGTCGAGTACTATATGGTATATAGTATAGCGTTTTAGTGCTCCAGCAGCTGCCTCTGTCACTCCACCATTATCGCCTTAACAGCTGGCGAATGTCGCAGCGAGTTGGGACAAGACGCGCAGAGATAATTGTCGTGTTTTACTTAATCAGCGCTCTATATTACACGCCTGTCCCACGCCTATCAGTGCCAAAGTCTGTGTTCCTAAATGTTTTCTCTGGTTCCCCAGTGTGATTCCAATCGAGTGTCTAATGGCGAAATGTGCATGTAGCAGTGGCGCGATTAAGGGGCAATCGCTGACAACTCCAAACGCAGTGCTCCTAAAGTCACTGCCAGAGTCACGACATGCCCACATGCTCGCCTGATGCTGGTCAGATTGTTTCGGGCTTATCACTTCACTCTGTGGCACAGTGGGGCTAAATTTACGTTCTTATTAAGAAATCTATTCTATTAAAATTTCAAGGAAAAAGTATTTTCAAATATACTAATATTTAAGTACCATTTTCGTATTTAAGGTACTTCAAAAGCATACAAATTATTATAACAAAACCTGTTATCTTTCATTTTTCTCAGCACATATAACCACTGTGCTTTGTTTTCTCTGATAAGACAGACACATAACAAGCCATCCATCGACTCAAAAATAAACTCAAAGACTTCTTAATGATTTGTTAAACATGATTCTTAATAATTTTGGTTCAAGGTCTGGCCCATTGCTCTCGGGTTCAAGCTAAAATCAGAAATTCGTCTAGAAATTAGTCTGAAATTATAAATAACAAAGCCACTAATCGGTTATCTCTGTTTCTTTTTTCTACAGGCTGGCATCGATCTGAAGGAGAACCTGGTGGCCGGAGCATCGCCCTGGCCATATCCCTCGATGTATCACCCATACGACGCGGCCTTCGCCGGTTATCCGTTCAACAGGTGAGGATTAGTCACAGTTTGGCAGAAAGTGCGAGTACGACAGATACTTCCCCCATTCCCATTCCCATTCCCATTCCCTTTTCCAATCGATAAACCCCGATGGTGGTCCGCTGAAAGGCGTCGATCGGAACGTGAGCGGGATTGGGATTGGGATTGGGCCCGGGATTGGGCTTGGGATTGGGATTGAGGTGCTGCAGGTGCGTGCAGGTGCATTTAAATGCCGGCTCGGAAAAGTGCGTTCGAATAGTAAAAGTCTGGCATATTGGCACGCAGGCCCAGTGGCATTCGAATTTCGAATTTCCATTACCAGCCGGCAATTTATTCGCTTGTAATTGATCGTTTGCACGTCGGCGGGCTGCTTCCGCCGATCGCAGTGGAGCGCACCTCCAAAATCGGAGAAAAACCACAAGCACACTGCAGTGGCCAAACCAAAGTGACATAAATTTCCAAACACAATTGCCGGTTAAACAATCGACAACATCCCGTCACGTCACCTCACGATCGGACAGGTACAACGCTGGGCCCATTGTTTCCCCTGTAATTGACACTCATAACAAAATTTGATAGTTGACTCATGCAGCTACTGTTGATGTTGATATCGATGCGTTGTTGTCTATCGACTATACCCCGTACATCGTACATATTCGCCATAAATCAATTTTGAGTTATTTCGCCGTGACGTGCTGGTAGTTGGCGAATTCGATTCAAAATTCAGGAGGAATACGCGCGGCCCCACCTATAATATTTCGTTGTTTTTGTGCCTCGCAGCAGCATTACGAACTTGCGGAGCGTTGGGGGCGTTGTTGTCGTCACCAATCATTTACAGCGCTGATAGGAAAATTAAAAAAATGTATTCAGCTGTCAGGTGATCAAAGGCAGAGTGCCTGTCTGCGCAGGTGTTTCGCACTCGGCGACACTTTGCATTCAAACTTAAATTAATTAATGCAGCGGACCCAGAGTCGTTCCCATATAGCATCCAGTTGACATCGTTGTCATCCTCTCCGCTCTCTGTTTGGATCGGATCGGATCGGGCAGCTGTCTGAAAACTACAAATGAGACAGCTACACATGTATGCGATGCGATGGCGATGGGTATTTCTCTCCCCCGTCGGTATTTTGCATTCCACGCACTGCAAAAAAATATAAGACACTTCTTAAGTCCGGGAAGTTTCAGGTTTCAAAAAACTATCCAGTGAAATATTTTACTTCCGAATAATATATACATCACACTTCAAGGCAAAAAACCTCTTCGTCACTTTTTTCTAAAAAACAAGTTGGGAATTATAAGTCTAGAACAAAAGCTGCACTCCACACACTCCTAAACCAGGGATGTTATCTGCTTATCCGAAACAAAAACACTTTTTTTGCAATAAAATAAAATGCAATCCTTAAGATTAAAGGTCACTACTCCAAATTTTCTAAAAAACAAGTTGAGAATTATAACGATAGAACAAAAATTGCAGTAAAGTAGATCCATTTTGAAAGGCAACCTTGTTTGTTTTAAACATAGTTTGAAGGCACCTTATCTCCCAGTGTAGTGAAGCATTGAGGCATATATGTATTTACACTCTGTTCCGCGATGTATATATACCAATATACTAAAAACGTTCATGTTAACTGCCCACAAAAAGCGATAAAGGACAGTTGTCGTCCGAGAGGCATGCGGCAACATTCGACCATCGACCATCGACCACCGATGGCACAGTGGGATGGGGAGCAATGTGTCAGACCGCAAACTGCACGGGCATAAATGTTCGGGCCCATGCAAATGCGTTTATGATGAACAAATTTAACGCAGAACAAAGCCGCCCGCCCACCGTTCCTGGCCAGTTTAACAAATTGCAACAATTGTTGGGCCCGGCGCATATTTAAAGAACTCCAAACGACCTGGCAACAGCTGGGTCTGCATTCCATTCCGGCCTTAATCACCTGCTGGCAATTCGGGGAATGGTTGGACTTGGGTCGTTGGGTTCCCGTTCCCTTATCGCGCAAATGATGTCCGCACCAGACTTGAAAACCCCGTCTAATTTGGCTCTTTCTTTCGATTTCTTGCAGCTACGGCATGGATCTGAACGGGGCCAGGAGGAAGAACGCCACCCGCGAGACCACCTCCACCCTGAAGGCCTGGCTGAACGAGCACAAGAAGAACCCCTACCCCACCAAGGGCGAGAAAATAATGCTGGCCATTATCACCAAGATGACGCTGACGCAGGTGTCCACGTGGTTCGCCAACGCGAGAAGAAGACTGAAAAAGGAGAACAAGATGACCTGGGAGCCGAGGAATCGCGTCGACGACGACGATGCCAATATCGACGATGACGACGATAAGAACACGGAGGACAATGATCTGCTAGGTAAGATAGGAACCGCATTCTATAAGCTCCTTAAGGGTATAGCTCTGAAAGCACAGGGGTCTTTCCACTTTCCACTTTCTCATCAAAATTTATTGCATAGCATCTTAGATAACCAACTTAGAATTTAGTTTTCAAAACGGTATATTTAAAAAAAAGCTTAAAATCGTGCGTTTGAAAGCATTTTAAACAGTGGTCAACAGCAGAAGCAGCTCAGACAGTCCCATGGGATACGAATGCTCTCTGCCGACGCTCTACCACACTTCTGCTTACTTAACCCTCATTTATTTCAAAATTGTACGTTTTTATATAAAGTTAAAGTTAGGTTGATAGCAATTGAATGAAAATATAAAAGAAAAGGTTTAGTAGTTTTGCTCAAGCACATTAGGGTTTCTTGAAATAGGCCACTATTACGCCCTTTAAAGTAGGCAACTAAAGTCTAATTTTTTTTTAACCTTCATATCTTGGGTTACCTCTAATTGTTCCCCATCTCCCTCCTCCCCTTGCAGATGCCAAGGACTCCGGCGTGGGCTCCACGGACGACAAGGACCGTTCCGGCCGCCTGGCCGACATGATGGCCGACCGCCCCGGGGAGAGCAACAACAGCGAGTGGTCCGAGTCGCGGCCAGGATCGCCCAATGGATCACCGGACCTCTACGACCGCCCCGGCAGCATGCCGCCGGGCGCCCACCCCCTCTTTCACCCCGCCGCCCTGCACCACCACTTCCGGCCGCCGGCGGGATCGCCACCGGACATCGCCGCCTACCACCACCACCAGCAGCAGCTGCTGCAGCAGCACCAGCAGGCGCAGCAGAACTCGCTGCAGACCGCGGTGGGGGGCACGGCGAAGCCGAGGATCTGGTCCCTGGCCGACATGGCCTCCAAGGACAGCAAGGACTCGAGCTCCGGGGCCAAGGACAGTCTGCCCGAGCTACCGCCCGCGCATCCCGGCTTTTATGGTCATCCAGGTCAGCAGCCCTCGCCGGGGAAGATTCTATCGCCCCTGGCCGCCCGGATTCCCAACTACTCGCCCTACGTCCGCCCGGACCTGTACCGAGGATTCTACGGACCAGCTGCGGCGCACCTGAGCGCTCCCACGCAGGAGTTCCTCGAGCATCAGCGCAGCTTTGGAGCCAGCCTGGCGGCCCACAACGGACCACTCGGAATGAATCCGCTGCTGTGGAAGGCGGCGGTGTCGGGAGCCGCCAATGGACCCCACTTCGCACCGCTCAGCCTGACCACTTCGGGTGGCTCCGGCGGAGCCCAGCAGGTGGCGCCGCCGCCCGTGGCCTCGCCCTCCGCCTCCAGTTCGTCCTCCTCGATGGGCTGCGATGTGGTCCACATACCCACGAGCAGCGGCCAGTCCGCGGCCCAGCACATGATGGGACCAATATCCAGCAACTCCACCGCCTCGTCATCCAGTTCGCACTCCGGAAAGATATCGCCCGGCGTGAATGTGACCTCGCTGAGTGCAAAGCCATGACATCCATCGGCGGCTTCTCCGGATCCGGCCGCCCCCGTGGCCTCGCCCATTTCCGCCTTCCGCTCGCTGATCGCCTTCCGGGAGCAGCAGAAGCTCACGCTCCTGCGGCCGTAGTCACTTCCAGTTTCGAATCAGATACAGATACAGACGCAGACGCAGATACCAAATCCGATTTCGACTTCGAGGCCCGGGCTTGAAAGGTATAATTACACTTTCGGACAATAATTTACAATGTGATTATTCGGTATTTTGATTAACGCCGCTTATACCAAATAGCAAGCAAAATGAGAGGGAAAAACCAGCTGAAATGCAGCGGTTCCTTTGGCATGGGCCCCCAAAAATGAGTAAACCAATAAAATTCGACAAAAAAAATGTAATGAAAAACCGAACCGCTGCCCCAGACGTTGTGCAATTTTGTGGAGAAGATAATCCAAAAACCATTTGAAGATACGTTAATTTAATTACATACAACTTATGCAATCAGAGCTTATAGGATGTAAATTGGAAGATATATAGCAGGGCGACATCAATGAATACATACATACCCGACCACTAACATATAACCGAGACGGCAGATCAGAAACACCCACTAAATTATAGAAGCACAATTCCTGGCAGCTAGGTCCACTTCTATCACTTCCGTAGATTTCATTATATAGTTTTTCCCTTCCCTCCGATTTGAGTTCGAGGTCAGCGGAACTTTGAAAGGCCCTGTGGGAGGACCCGAAACATATCAACCCAAGTCTGCTGAACTCCCCAAACCCTCCCATCCCAACCGACCGAGCCCAAACCCAAGCCAAATGTACACGAGCAATCATTGATTTAGCTGTTATTGTTTTTTCGTCTTAAGTTACCAATTTGTTCCTGTCGTTTATAAATATAATTTATTTTACTTCGTATGTACCATAATTTTCTACGCGTGTAATTATTTCCTAAACTAGAGATCCATGTATTGCTGTACTTTATGCACAAGTTGTAAGTATGTAAGCTCGCGTAATTGTAGCGCCCTAAGCGTAGTGTAAATTAGTAAAACTGTATATACTTATAATAAAAGAACGATAATGAGACACATTAAACAAAAGCCACAATTATTGGTATAAATAAACACAATTGCATTTAATTATTTGAACGGGAGCAAACTTTCTAAATGATGGGTCATCTTTAAGGTAGTAATAAAAATCACTTATATCCATGAAATACTTGTAGTTATATAATGTTTGCCTACTTTTCTTATAAAGACGTCTAGACTGCATTTAATGGACAGCTTACCCGTTCTTTTAGGTTTCTTTTTCAATTCAAATAAATCCGAAATGAAAATAAACCAAGCTAAACAAAAATTTGAAGTTTCCACAAAAAATACTTTTGATGAGGTTTGTATTTGCAAACCAATCACCACAAAATCCACAAGTGAAAGAAAATACCTGATAGCCCAACAAAAATATATAATTAAAAAGTGCAAACAACAGCTATAACATTTAATCGAAGAATATATAACACAAGAACAAAGAGGTGTTAATAAATTGGAACACAAACGAGAACCGACGGTTCGTTTCATTTCCTTTCGCATATGCATAATACAGTCTTGTTTTATTGGTTAATCATAGACAGTCTCATGTGGTGATTTAAGGGCCTGCGATGGTGTACGATAAGCCGAAGAAAAAACAATATTTTGCTATAAACGTGTTTTCCTGTGTCGCTGACCGGAAACGCATTCGCCGACATAAACAGAACAAGAGCAAAGTGAGCAGAAAACTTATGAATGGAGGTAACAAAAGGCGGTATATGGAATGGAGTGACTGGAGCGGGCCAGGGGTTAATAAACCCTACAAGTTATTTATGGCCTTCCATTATCGGCTATCGAAGCTCGATTTGCTGGGACTCATCTGTGGTTAAGTAAGAGAGATTGGAGCTACAAGAGATGTGGCATCCTTTCGATATCAGTAGGGGATAAAGTATGTTTATGATGACTTTAACTTTTTGCAATATCATTTTATAGCTTTTGGTACTTATACTACTTCTTGAACTACGACTATATGTCAGCAAATAAGTACCTTGTGAAATAGAATGTTCGAACCCTGTTTCTTCTTTTCCACCAAATGCTTCGAAAATTGGATCATACCCCCACACTAATCGCATAACAAACGACCTGTTCCGAAAGCATTCAAACATATTAATTTAGTTGTTAAACAAATATGAATAGAGCATTCCTGTTTGGCCTGCAGTCGAAATGCCTTTTGGCTCCCGTGAAGGCCGTTTTTATAGATCCGACTCAATTCGAGTAGCGTAATCTGGGCTATTGAATAGGAAAAAACCAGTAGCACACAAAGGCGGTCCCCGAATTTTAAGCTGACATCGGTTTTTATGGAGTAGATTATTAATTCACGGGTACAGCTCTTTGTTGCATTGTGGCACCGTACAAAAGCCTTACTCAAAAGTAACAAATCCATATTGTCAGCGCCGTTAAGACTCAATCGTCATTGGAAATTGGAACGGATTTCGGTTGTCAGCTTAAATCAATCGTGTATCTTCTTATAGTTTTAGAGGCGGAATGATTTAATTATTGTAGAGCGATGCACATAATTTCCATCACAAAACACAACTTTCTTCCCACAAATTGTTTATTCTCAGCCAGCTTAGGGAAATTCCAATGTTATTGGTGTGTCTCCATTTGGACCCCGCGTCTTTAATCGGTTTACAGTATGCTCAAAGCCCAGATCCAATAGGTAGCCATATATACCCACGTTTTATTGAGAAACTGTCGACATTCGAAAAGTCACGGCCTTTATGCTTTGCCAGCTTAAGCGTGTTTTCTATTGTTTGTCTAAAATTGTTTAAGCTTACACTGGTCATGGAATTACGATATTTGGGGTAAGGAATGCAAATTTTTAAATAAAGTAAAATATAACATAGTAGGTACCCAAAAGTAATTATAATGTTTCGAACGAGAAACTGCATTTTATAAATATTATTTGCAGAACTTGTGAATGAAATTATAGGTGTCTTGTCGGTCTCACCTGAAACCATGATATTTTCCAATCCCGACCGAAATCCACAATTATGCTAATCTTAGCAGACACACTTAACATAAGAACATGTGTTTCGAGCATTTAGCACATTGCCTTTTTACCTCTGCGTACTACCATGATATTTATTCTGGAGATTCTCTTCTGATCCCAGAAAGAGCTGAGCTGGCAAACAAATAAAATGATAATAACATGTTATTATGCAGACAACGATCACACTGGAGCCCAAAACAATGATGGGACTAAAACAGAGTGCAGCAGACGGCTGTTCGGGCTTTTTCCAGTCGATAGGTGATGTGCAGCTTTCGCGAAGAAGTAAAACCCACATTTCCGTATTCAACCATGTGGAACTGCGACTCAAAAACATGTCCAGGGCTCTCAACCAAAGACAGTTCATTGTTTTTCGAAATTAAATTTGCCAACATCTCCATCAAACGTGGATGTGTATGTTTTGGACCGCACTTCGGTTCCTGTTCCTGTGCCGAAAAAGAGTGATAAATAAATTAGCCAGTTGAATGGTACGAATAACTAATTTTAGGTCGGAAAAACAATTAGCTTGCCGTGGTGAGATGATTTATTCCTCGTAAGCGCATAACTACAAAGTAGTTTTTATCAGGAAATCCCATTTGTTTTACATGGGGGGAACGAGTATGTCACCTTCGCTGGATGGTAATTATATTGCACTCTTTCAACAATTATTTCGTTAATGCCGTCACAAATATTATGACACGTGGCCGTATCCCAACACTTCGGCGGCCTCCCTTTGATTTAAACTGTATTTTTGCAGAAAATTAAGAGATCAAAGCGTTTCCTGACATATGCAAGCCCGCTCTTATTTACCTCAGATACATTCACACATCTGTAGCTAGTGCGTTCTATATCCACAGATACAGCAATATTGGGGAACGAAAAATCATTCGAGGAAGGGGTGTACCCAAAAAATAAGAAATGCACACTGGTAAAAGAATAATATAATAAATATTAACGAATATTATTTTATAATCAAAATATTATCAGGAATTTTTTATTAAAGTTATTAAGTTAACCTAACAATGTAATATCTTTTTTCCAAAATGCTATCGTTTAATTTGATGCTCTGAGCTTTGATAATAGTGCGAGTAAACTCTCGTATTCTCGGTGTCAAAACTTCGCCAAGCAGGGAAAAACCAATCTCGAGAACAAAATAATTAAGTCGCCTTATATATTAGCACTTTCAAAATAACCAATTCGAAATTTTAGAGGTAATCGATATTTAAGACCTAATTGTGCTCAATTTAAGAACTTTCCAGTACGAACGTTCTTAAATGTTCAGCAAGAAATCGTTCTTAGTTCAAAACTGAGTGTTATCTAAATCTAGAAAAGTTAAACTAATCATTCGAAAGTTAAATTTCTTGACAAATTTTCAGATTTCGTTAATAACATTTTTTCAATAAATATTACAGTTTCAATATCAATTTACATTATTCAAAAATAAAATAATTAGTGTAAATTTTATTATTTTTTTTATTTTCTGTGTACGAAAACAGCCTGTAACAGGTATTTAAAAATATATGCGTATATGTATCTTATAAGGTTCAAAGTTATTTTTCTGACTGCATGTGTACTACGTTTGTTGTGAGATTGATAAAACTAGAATTATTATTACAAACTAAAATGTAATTATTTTTTTAGCTTTAATAACATTATTTTTCTCACTGCAGTTCCACATTTTGTTGGGAATTTGGCAAACAGCTCCCACAGTACCGCCTCCGCGGGAGAAGTGTAACTGGGATTCAGTGACCATTTCGGGGGAGCTGGGCGGCCAGGAGTCGATCGCCTGATCGCCTGAACAACATGAGCTCTTGTTTACTCGCATGTGGGTGGAGTGCCTGGTGGCTCGGGATGTGACGGGACGGTGATTGCGATTGTGGTGCTGATGGTAGTGGGGCTCGTACTCGAACTCAAACTCGAACTGCCAGTGGTGCTAGCAAGGAGTCCTGGTTCATTCAACGACTGCCACATTTCAATGGCAACCGAGATCGCTGTCGCAGATACCACAATTCGGATGTTCCTTATTGCATGTCGTGATTGCGTCAGCTTGTCTCCACTGCCTGGAGCTGCTCCTCCGGCCAATGCGAAAAATTAAGCGGCCACCAATCATTGTTGTGTATAATGCTCGGCCGAATGTTCAAATTGAAAAGTTGTAAATTATCGAGCCCCACCATCGAGATCGGTTCATTCCAATTAAATTTGAATCCAAAGCGGTGACAGCCCATCGTGACCCTATGAAGCCCACCTTTTTCTGGTTGGTTTCACACCTTGGAGTCTGCTTTCTATGGGACAGCTCTTCTAAATTAGAATTTTATAAACTTTATGAACAACCCATATCTAGAAGATTTATTCACATACTATACATATTAAAATACTTATTCTATTTTGGATTTATAAATATATTTATATTATAATATATATAATATTTTTCAACATCTCAATATATTTATAGAAAACTTAGTTAAAAAGCTTTGCAGTTTATAATTTTTCA